GCTTTTCGGGTTCAGGGCTTAGGGTTTAGGGTTTAGGGTTTTGGGTTTAGGATCAAGGGTTCAGGGTTTAGGGTTTAGGGTTTAGGGTTTTGGGTTTAGGATCAATTGTTCAGGGCTTAAGGTTTAGGGTTTAGGGCCATTTAGGGTTTAGGTTCAAGGGTTCAGAGTTTTCGAGTCTGGGCTTCATGGTTTTGGGTTTAGGAGTTTAGGGGCTGAGGGGTTTAGGGTTTAGGGTTTTTGGGTTTAGGAATTTAGGGGCTCAGGGTTTGGGAGTTTTGGGTTTTAGGGTTCCGGTTGAGCTGTTGTATGGCTTTGTTGTAGTATGCGTGCCGAAAAATCAGCGGACTAGCAGGGCTGGGGCGTGAAAGCCACAAGAATCTGCAAAAGGGAACTTTCTTGTCCGGGTGTGTTGGCTCGCGCGTTCTGGCTTCAGAGGCCAAGTTCGGATTTCAAGTTCCCCTAAACCCTAAACCCTAAACCCTAAACCCTAAACCCTAAACCCTAAACCCTAAACCCTAAACCCTAAACCCTAAACCCTAAACCCTAACGGACTGTGGGGTTTTGTCATTCGCCCTTCGCCTCTCTTACATCTTGGAGTTTTCGGTTGGCTGCACTGCAGTGATGAGGGCGGCCGACGTCTGCCTAGTCGCAGGCGACACCTTCTGTTTGTAACCAGATCTTAGGGGTTTAAAATTTAAAAGTTTCGGGGTTTAGGGTTTAGGGTTTAGGGTTTAGGGTTTAGGGTTAGTTTCGGGGTTTAGGGTTGCGGTTGCCGCCACAAACTCTTCGACCCATCGAATTTGGGTTTGAGGGTACAGCGTTTGGGGCGGTTGAAGCCCCAAGTTTTTCATGATTCTGACTGCTACACGTTGACCCGCGAGTTTCGCAGTACTACTCCAATCTTCGTTTTCGCCCACAAGCCGTCGCAGTGCCCCATGCTTCGGACGCTGCATTGACAACTTCTCCTACAAACGAGCATTCTTACATACTCGTACGGGGTACGTAGGTACATATACTCCATATACAAGTCATCCTAAACCCTAAACCCTAAACCCTAGACCAGAGAGGGAATTGCCCGAAGCCAGAGTCAGAAGCCGTTGGGAGGAGTCCGATGAGAAGAGGGAGGAATTGCAGATGCGCCTGGAGGAGAGAGGGTTTAGGGTTTAGGGCGAGCTTGGAGCTTTGATACCACAGAAAGGCATAGTCGTGCTCGTGGCTTTGGCTCCTCTGCTTCTGCGACTGCTGCTGCTGCTGCTGCTCCTCCTCCTCCTGCTGCTGCTGCTGCTCTACTGCTTACGACTTACGACTACTGTACCACTTACTACTTCCGACGCCAAATACGATTACAACCACTACGACTACGACCAGGACTGCTACACATACTGCTTAATGCGTACTTTCAATCCTGCGACTGCCACGACACCCGTATGCAGACACGACATGGGCCTTCTTGTGTGTAGCTATAAGGATTTGGAAATCTGTAAGCAGAGCAGGCATTGTTATTCCTAGCTAGTACGGCTTCCGACCACACAAGATGAGCCGCAAACCCTAAACCCCTAAAACCTAAACCCTGAACCCGTAGAGTTTACGATACCCCCGATGTCTCTAGGAGCTCCGGACCAGCCACGTCAACAACATCGAGCAAGCTAAACGGTGTGCTCGAGAAGTGAGTGGTGCCCGTCAAGCACTGCCGTGAGCCAAGCATTGCCCAGAAAGCCCTACCATTGACCTAGGGAATAGACAGGGGTTCCAAAAAAGCACTGCTATCGGCAGTCGTATTCATTTCTTCCGGAATTTTCTTTGTACTCACGTTTCTGAGGCTTGTACCCGGTCAGGTTGATGGCTTCCTTGTTGTTGGTTCAAGATTGTTTTCTCCTTGTCAGGGACCTACGGCTGTAATTATAGGAGCCTCCTAGACCCCTTCTGGGCCAACTCCCGTGATGTGCCGTAACCCTAAACCCCAAACCCTAAGAAAACCCTAGACCCTAAACCCTAAGAAAACCCTAGACCCTAAACCCTAAGAAACCCAGACCCTAAACCTCCAATCAACGATGTGCGTGCATAAACGAGATGTATGTATGTATGCATGCATGCATGCATGCATGCATGTATGTATGTATGTATGTATGTATGTATGTATGTATGTATGTGTGCACGTGTTGAGCTTAATTGAGATTATTGAGTCTAAACATGTAAGCGTGCCTATCAACTCGACATGGTGGCCGGGGTCTTTAGGTCTTTATACACCCTGAACCGGGGCCCTAAACCATGAACTCATCTCCACTCGCACGAGGCAAGTTCGCCAGTCGACGATCACGAAGCTGCAGGGAGAGGTGACATAAGCCCTAAACCCTAAACCGACCTGAACACGTAAACTTGAAAAGCTCCCAAGACAAAGCTTCTTAATGATGCGCCCTGATGTTGGCTTTAGGGTCTAGGCTTAAGCAGGTGGTTTGTTGAGTCCTCACTAACCAATGGGATGCTCAGCAACAGCGCTGCTAGGCACAGAGTTGCTGGGGGAAACCTGCATGCTAAATGCTCAAACTCCGAGACGGCACCCTACAGCAATCTGGAATCTTAAAGGGTTTAGGGTTTAGGGGTCTTGAGTCAGCTCTAAATCTCAAAACCCTAAGATGCAAGACCCTAAGCGGTTTTTGCCAGGTCGATGTGCCCATGTCAATGTCGTGGTATAAACTTCAACCTATACAACGACTAGCCTAAAGCTCAAGTTTATAGTATACAACTGCGAAGGTAATATGGGGGCCTTAATAATTACCTACATCATGTTGGGTGCTCCTCATTCAAGTTCTAGTATAATATACCCCAAAACCCGATTCAAACTATTAAGGCCGCTATATTATATGGGCCCTACGGGTTTCCCTTCAGGAGGGAGGACTGGGGCACCTGGCAAGAAGACTTCTCAGGGAGTTTCCCAATTTCGGTGGAAGTCGGTGGAGCTTGAGATTCCTAAACCCTAAACCTGAAAACCTTAAACCCTACATCCTAAACCCTAAACCCCAAACCCGAATCCCGAAACCCTAAGCCCTGAACCATTTAGGCTTCAGGAGTTCATGGTGTTGAGGCGGGTCGCAATGCTCTGAAGCTTAAGAGAGAACAGCCTGGTTCGGCTCCAGCTATGATAAAATAGGGGCCTTAACAATTAGAATAGGGTTTTGGTACCCATTATACTATTATTATAATAAGGGAACCTTCAAAATAGCATAGGTAATTAGTTAGGCCCCTACATTAAGCCCTCAACTCCATACCCTAGCATCGTTGCTCTTGCCACACACTGAACCTTGAAGTCTTACAGGACTAAGCCCGAGCTGAAAAGTTTGCAGCTTTGCAGCACCAAAACCCCAAACCTTCTGTAAGAACCTAAACACGTAGGTCTTAAACCCTTTGACCTTACCGGAACATTCATTGGGAGCTAGAGGTAGTGATCTAAAGTGTCTCAGTCAGGGATGTAAGTAATCTTGACGTACCTCGACGTACTGCTGTATGTTTCTTCATGGTCAATGTAAACTCGACAACCCTAAACCCTAAACCCCAAACCCTAAACCCTAAACCAGAAACCCCAAACCCTAAACCCTAAACCCTACACCGTCAGCAGGTGTCGCGCGCCAAGGCGCGCACCGACCGGAAGCGAAAGCAGCTCGAGGCTGGCTGAGACGGGGAGCACCGGCTGTGAGGTTTCTCAGGGTGACTTCCGGAATCCGCGTCGGGGTCACGAGTTTGGGGCTTCTGAAGTAGGGGTATAGGGGGAGGGGTAGGAGGGGTAGGGGTAGGGGTAGGGGTAGGGGGAGGGGTAGGGGGAGGGGTAGGAGAGGTTTCTAGATACTTCAGTTTGTGCTTTGGGGGTGGAGATTTTCTGTCAAAGAGTTCAGGGGAGTTGAGGGTTTTCTTCAGGCGTTCAGGTGTAAAGGTTTTGGGATGTTCGGGATCCCGGAGGCCAGAACTGTATAAAGGAGTGCCACAGGAAGTGAGGATTCTCAGTCTCAGGGATATGAGAATCTAAAGACGAGAGTATGAACCCTAGCTAGAAGATTAAGTCTGGTAGATGCTGAAGAGTTTCGGATGATGGATGCAGGCTTAGATTGTCGTGAACTCTCAACGAGGCATGTTCAGCTTCATGGACCGTCCGCAAGATTCTACACATGGACCCTCGATGATGTCCCGTACTTCTCGAATTTGACGCTTTACGATCAATTTGTGTCTACGGCGTCTTGTAGTGCTTCAGCGTCCGGCTTTCACATGTCGCCGTAGAATCAGCTACAAGTTCTCTCCTGACACGGCAGTCTTCGTAGTCACATTCTGAGTATAGTGTAATGTAATCATAGCCAGACTACTCAGCAAGTCTACTACTGCTAGGAACTAGTAGCAGTAGTAGTAGTAGTAGTAGTAGTAGTAGAAGTAGAAGTAGTAGTAGTAGTAGTAGTAGTAGTAGCAGCAGCAGCAGGAGTAGTAAGCAGTAGCAGTAGTAGTAGCAGTAGCAGCATTTGTAGTTCTATTGTTTTTAATTTAAATAAGGTTTAGGAAAGCAGGTAATGTCAACAGAATCATAATACGCAAGACAATAACCATTATTTTCACAACACCAGTAGGCGATGAATATGAATAAAACAATATCCGTAGTAATAGCTAGAGTGGTAGCAGGAGCAGGGCAGGAACAACAGTAATTTAATAACAAAAACGACAACAATATAATAGTAAAGGGTTGCAATCATAATAATCACAGTTATATGAACATTACTATTAATAACAATAGCAACAACAATAATATCAGTATTATCAGATATCAACAGTAATCATGATACTGACAATAATACTACAAAAAGTAACAATAATAAGAATAATCATAAACCCTAAGCCCTAAACCCTAAACCCACAAGGTGTAGCAACCGTAATTGCCAGGCCCAGCTCGGACAGTCGCAGCTGGAGCTTCGTGATGCCCAGTCGCGCGCTGAAGTTGCGCAGGAGCAGCTTCGCAAGGTCTCGCTCTGGGTTGAGGTTTAGGGTTCAGGGTTCAGGGTTTAGGGTTTAGGGTTTAGGGTTGAGGGTTTGGGTGTAGGATGTAAGAATTTAGGGTCTAGGGTTTAGGCTGTTGGGTTTTGGTCAGGTTTTTCAGTTGGTTGTTTGATAGGCTTGCGTTGTAGTTGTTGGGTGTGTGTGCTCCATCAAGCCCTATAAACCTTAAGCCCTATACCCTAGGTTTCTCGCCTTGGCCCTGAGGCGTCATCATGAACTGCCCTGACCCGGGCTTCGGGAGAGAAAGCTTGAAGCTTTGAGTCACAAACGGTCCTAAACTCCAGAACCTAAGCCCTACCTGTGGCCAAAGACCTACCTTTTTGAGGAGCTCTCTCTCTCTCTCTCTCTCTCTTATCTATCTAGCTATCTATATATACATATATATATATATATATATGTTTTTTTGTTTTATCCATGTTTTCTATTTGTTTTTGATTTATCCCACAATAAGGAACCCTGAAACGGTAGGTCTTTTCGGCTACAGGTCGTGATTCCCCGGCCCCCACGGGACCCGGAGCCGACCCTTTCGGCCTGAAAATCTCTCCAACTGCCCCTTAAAGCGCCCTCCCTGAGTTTAGGGCTGAGGGTTCTTAGCGCTTAGGGCTTAGGGTTTAGGGTTTAAACTTCAGAGAAAAAGCTCGCAGTGGCGGTGTGTTCTTGATCAAGTTCTGGCGGCTTGATGTGTTATGTTCAGGGCCGCGGTGTCGTATTTCACGCTTCCGGGGGTCGGGGTAAGGCTTGCAACCCTAAACCCTAAACCCTAAACCCTAAACCCTAAAGCCTAAAACCCTAAACCCTAAACCCTAAACCCTAAAACCTTAAACCCTAAACCCTAAGCCGTTATCATGCGTGAGGTCGGGAGTTCCCGGTGTCGGGGTCTCTCCATGTAGTTAGTCAGGTGCTCATCGAACATAGAGCAGCATCTGAAAACCCTACACCAAACCGCAAGCCCTGAACCCCAAACCCTAAACGTCAACCCTAACCCTACACCCTGAACCCTAAACCCCAAACCCTAAACTTCAACCCTAACCCTACACCCTGAACCCTAGACCCTGAACCCAACCCGTTTGCAGCCAGCATCCCGAAAGCCTCCAAAAGTTCGTCTCTGGCTCGCAGGTCCGGGCGCAACACTCCCGGCAGCTCCGTGTGGTCAAGAACCAAACGACCAGTTTGACCGAGGAGTGGGATCCTACACCCTAAACCCTAAACCCTACACTCTAAGCCATATTTGACAGAGGAGTGGGATGCCCACATCCGTGAAACTGAGGCGGCAACTTTGTCAGCACCTGGCTTTTGTGACAAGTTTGTTGCTGCCCCCCCCTCTATTCCTAGCCGTACTTCTGGATGATACTTCACTCACTGACAGCTGCTCTGCTATAGTCTTACTGTCGCTATATGTATGCAATCCCCGTATATTCATATTTATATTTGCATACAAACCCTGTAAAATCCTAAAGGCCAGGCTTAGAACTTAGAACCCCGGCACAAACAACTCGTCAAGAAAAGGTTTTCCAGAACAGGCTTCGGGTTGCAGGGTTCCGTGTCAGGTGGGAAGTTTGGGCGTTTAAGGATTTTAGGGTTACCTGATTTTTTTTGAAGGGGCCTGCAGAGACACCTGAGGCAAAGAGGGAGATGGACGAGCTGCTGCAGTGCCTGTGACAGAATTTGGATGGGATCTTGCGTATGTCTAGAGGCTACACCGTTAACAAATGTAGAAGCCCAAATCGTTACCAGTATTATTCCTTAGGGTTCCTTGTTATAACTATATACTATACTATACAGGAGCCCAGAACCCCGTTCTAATGATTAAGCCCCCCCTATACTATCTATCTGATCAACGCACAGAACTCATAGGGTTCAGAACTCTTGAGAGCTGGAGCCCCCTGCACCATAAAGGGTTTAGAGTTTAGGGGTTTAGGGGTTTAGGGCTTAGGGTTTAGGGTTTAACCCGAAAGCTCAACAGAACACCCTAAACCCTAAACCCTAAACCCTAAACCCTAAACCCTAATGGGCTTCAGGCCCCAGAGCCCTACAAAGCACGACAGAACCCGGTTTAGGGTTTAGGGTTTAGGGTTTAGGGTTAACCCTCTAAACCCCATGCGAGACCTCTGTACAAACAGATAGAAGCGCTTTATGCAACCCTATGACTTCGACTCGCCTATGACGTACATGAACGAAAAACCCTAAACCCTAAACCCTAAACCCTAAACGAAAGTTTAGCAACAACGAACTTACTGAGGCAGGAGCTCGACCTGCGCAGTAGCGAACAGCGCTTCCTGCAGCAGGAGGAGGAGGTCCAAATCCAGGCAGCGACGCCCCCTAAACCCCAAACCCTAGATCCCCCGGTTTGGTTTGAGACTTGTGGGAATTTTGGGGGTGGACTCCTGTTAAGGGGTGTAGCGCTCAGGGAGCCTACGCCCCAAACCCAGGCTTCGGGCTCATAGTAGGGGTGTCGGGTTTAGGGCTTAAGGCTTAGGGGTTTTAGGGTTTGGTGTCAGCTAGCCATCTTGATGTCACTAGCAAGCCCGAAGCCCTAAATCGGACTAGGGATCCCCGTCAATCAGATAATCAGGAAGTGGGGTTCTAAGCACCTCTACACTTCTTAGAGCCTAAATTCTTAAAGGAACTCCAAAAGTAACCCTTGCAGCAACCCTTATCTACAACAACAAAATGCATCAGTGAAAGCCTGGTTCTGTAGAGTTATAGGAACGCAGATCTTGAAGCCCAACTTGCAACTCCACCCCAAACCACAATTCATAAACCCAAAATCCATACCCCCCGAAAGGCCCTGAACCCAAGCCGCTGAACCCTATGAGCCCTAGATCCTAAACCCCGAGATCCAACCCTCAAGAGGAAACACCCCCTTGTAGTAACTCTTGCACCAAGAACCCTTCCAGGAAACCTGGTAGTAGCCTTGACAGGAGCCCTTGATAGCTTTGAAGGGATTGCAGTAACCCTCACAGGAACTCTCATGTAACCCTTTCAGGAACCATTAGAGGAACCCTTATAGGCACCCCGGAACCCTTGTAGGAACCTTTGTAGGAACCCTTGTATCAACCTTTAGACGAACCTTTGTAGGAACTCTGAACCCTCAACCCTATGCCCTAGACCGAAAACCCTTGTCGGAACTCTGAACCCTAAACCCTAAACCGGAACCCTTATAGGAACCCTTATAGATCCCTTGAAGGAGCGCCAAAAGGAACCAGGAACCCTTATAGATCCCTTGAAGGAGCGCTAAAACGAACACTCATAGATCCCTGGAAGGAGCGTTAAAAGAACCAGAACCCTTATAGATCCCTGGAAGGAGCGCTAAAAGGAACCCTTATAGACTTATAGATCCCTTGAAGGAGCGCTACAAGGAACCCTTGTAGGTCCCTTGAAGGAGCGCTAAAAGGAGCCAGGAACCCTTATAGATGCCTTGAAGGAGCGCCAAAAGGAACCAGGAACCCTTATAGATCCCTTGAAGGAGCCAGGAACCCTTATAGATCCCTTGAAGGAACCCTTATAGACTTATAGATCCCTTGAAGGAGCGCTACAAGGAACCCTTATAGATCCCTTGAAGGAGCGCTAAAAGGAACCCTTATAGATCCCTTGAAGGAGCGCTACAAGGAACCCTCATAGATCCCTTAAAGGCGCCCCTTGTAGGAACCCTAAACCCTAAACCCTAAACCCTAAACCCTAAGCCCTAAGCCCTAAACCCTAAACCCTTTCCCTTGTAGGAACCCTTAGAGGAGGCATCCCTGGCAGGCTCGGAAAGCCCGGGAAGTGCTGCAGTCTCTGGAGTACCAGACTGCGAAGCTCCAGGAGGGGTTTAGGGTTTAGGGTTTAGGGTCTAGGGTTTAGGATTTAGGGTTTAGGGTTTAGGGTTCAGGATTTAGGGTTTAGGGTTTAGGGATTTAGGGTTCAGGACTTAGGGTTTAGGGTTCAGGACTTAGGGTTTAGGGTTCAGGATTTAGGGTTTAGGATTTAGGGTTTAGGGTTTAGGGCTTAGGGGTTCATAGGAGTTTCGCAGAGAGGGTTGCAGGGCTTAAGGGTTCATAGGAGTTTTTATTTTAGGTTTATAGAGTTTTAAGGTTTAGGGGGATGAAGATTCAGGCTGTCGGGCTTGCAGCTTCGGTGCTGGGGATTTGATTTGAGGGTTTAGGAAGGTTTGGGGTTGAAGATTTATAAGCTTTGAGCCTTAGGCTTTACGGTCTGGGGTGGGCCTAAGGTTTGGGTCTTGGGTTTAGGCTAGTGCAAGGTTGAAAGAGGGCTGAGGATTGAAGAAGGTTCATGGCCCTGGAACGTTTCGCGCGTAGTTTTAGTGGGATTCCTAATATGTTTAGGGTTAGGGTTTAGGTTTAATAGGGTTTTGGAGGCATGACGTGGCATGACAATACAAGGACTAAACGGGGTAGTACTACTGAATTCACGCTTCTAAGGGAGATCCTCCTGTGTGGGGCATCTTTCTTCGGGGCCGGGTTCCCTCAATTCTCCGACCCTCCGAGGATTAGGGTTTCGAGTTTAGGGTTCAGGGCTTTGCGTTTTTTTTTTCGGGTTTGGGGCCCTAAACCCTAAACCCTAAACCCGGTTTAATGGTTTAGGGTTTAGGGTTAAGGGACTCCCCAGTCAGGATGACCGGGAAGCGCTGCTGCTTGCCCAACGGCCCCTGGAGGCGCGCCGGTGTTGTCGGGCCACGTAAGGCGTCATGAAGACTGGACCCTGAAAGACTATTTTCAGTAGCCAGCTTTTTGATAAGGAAGTACTGGAATCCGATAAAAGTCTCAGTAGAATCAGGGTGTCTCGGAGGCAGTCGGGGTGTAGGGTTTCGGAGTTAGGTTGCCAAGCCGCCGCTTTCCGAAGATTACGCAGTGTCGGAGTTTTCTTGCAAAGCATGCTTCCGGCGTAAGGGCGGTTAGGGTTTAGGGCTTAAAAGTATGTCGAACCTGCAAGCCGGTCTGGTATCGAAATCACAAATTCCGGGTTTAGGGTTTAGGATTTAGGGTTTAGGGTTTAGGGTCCAAAACCCTCAAAATCCGAAAGAGGAACCCTCAAACTCCAATCATGATTCCGGATCCCAGCCAGCCTAGCTACGTCGGTCCAGTCCCTGAGATTTGATATATAGTAGTCGAACAGTTCATGAAATACACGTAATTCTCGCATGGACGCGTGCTGATAAACCCTAAGCCCTTAAACCCTAAACCCTAAAACCTAGTCCAAATTTTCAGGCTCTACAGCGAGCCCCACCCGCTACGCCTAAGGGGCTTCGGCGTCCCGGGTCTGCTTGAAGGGATTGCCGCTTGGGCTTGAGGATTTGTTTAAAACCTAAGCCTTAAACCCTTTAAGCCCTAAACTTAAGGCCTAAGCTCTGAAAACCCGAAACCCTAAACCCTAAACTTGAAGCCCAAGCTCTGAAAACCCTGAAGCCGTGACCTTTGACACCCGAATCAAAGCCCCCCAGCGAACGAACGCGCCGAGCCCCAGAACAAGCCGTAACCACAAGCTCCCAAAACGGAAGACAAGCCTAGCAGAACCCGTCGAAGCCCGTATAAAGTACTTAAAACCATGGAAGCTCCCGGCAAGAGAAACGATTAAGGCCTCCGGCCGGCAAAACCCAAAGCTCCATGCAACCCTGAAAGAACCCACTTAAAGCCCGCATAAAGCCCGCATGAACCATCTTAAAAGCCCGGACGAAGCTCCCACACTGCCGCCAAGCTCCAACGAAAGCGGCGGCAGGAAGAGCATGACCTGATCCAGGAGCAGGTAAAGGCCATTAGAGGCCTGTCGGAAGCGGACTCAAAGAAGTCAGAGGCCGGGTGTGAGTTCTTCTTGTGTCCCCAGACCTTCCAGCATGCCTTCATTAAGGAACCTACCTTAAGTGGGATCCTACTATGACTTAAGGTATATGTTCCCTTGTCAAGGAATGTACCTCAAGTCATGTGACAGGTCCTGTCCTACTATAACTTAAAGGTACATTCCTTAATTGAGGGATAGTGGATTTGTGTTGCGTTCAGTTTAGAGGTTCAACATACCCCCCCCCCCCCGGCATCTGAAGCGCAAACTCTAGAGGCCGCTGACACGCTAGGCTGCAATGGAGTTTCGACAAAGGGACCTTAATGAATGCCGTGCACTGAAGCAGGATTCTGTAGGATCCTTCTGAGCTTCAGAGCTGGGTTTAGGGCTTAGGGTTTAGGGTGCACGGTAGCATGATTCCTGTAGGATCCTTCTGATAGCCCCCCCCCCCCCCCCCCCCCCCCCCCCC